TATATATATATATATATATATATATATATATATATATATATATATATGAAAAATTGATGTGGGTACTCAAACGAAAGGTTTCGATGAGTGTAATGTCAGGGTAAGCTTATCTCTTTAAAAATGTCAATAATTCCCAGGATACAAGGTCATTTCTTCATTACGTAGCTAGAGCTGGAGCATTTCCGAATGCAGCTTAAGTATACTTACCATAGTAAATTAACTATTGATAAAAAAAATATAAAACTTTGAAAAGGCACAAATTAAAGTCACGACCTTTGCAATGACACTAAGTTTCACTAAAAAAACCGATTTTATGATATGACTATCCTGGCGACAAAATTGTTCTTATTTTCTTAATAATATAGATTATCATACTTAATATTCATGCTTATAATTAAAGGACTGGCGAGATGAAATTTCATCAAAAGCAGGATGTCAAGAGAAGATAAAACTGATTACAGAAATCGAAGACGGGGCGTACAAAAATAAGGACAAAAGAGAATACTATTGTCCATGTGATGCATTTTGCGCTGCTGCGGTTGTTAATTCAAGTGTCATCAAACGTTATGAGGAATGTCATATGGACGTCGAGCTGCATGGAATAAAAACACGGGGTCAAAGTGTCATTGATCATTTAAAAGATAACAAACCCAATGTTTTATTGGTTAATGAAATTGACGTTGAAGAATTTAAAGCTATTATGTTCCAAGCTTTTCAATAATTTTATTATTGTCAAAAATTATTTATTTGAGAGCCCTGAACTGCTTCACCTCGGGGATCATGGCGCGCAGTGCAGGAATCTCAACTTTCTGCCCTTGTAGTGTAATATACTATTAAAATTGAATTGTAATTATAAGGTATGTTGAAAGAGAACCAGAAATCTGAAAAATGAATAGAAAATAAGTAGGGATTTTCTTTTCCGGTTTTTTGCTGCAAAATATTTTGAGTTTATTTCGTAATAATTCGGCAAAAAAACTGGCTAAAATAACTGAAGTATTACGGTAAACATACAGCATTTATATCATATAAATACCAAATCTTTAAGGCATTTCCAAAACCGTGAGGGTAGTATATTCAGTTTAAATCGTGATTATTCTTCATCTTTTTAAAAAATGAATCGTTTTGAATGAGACTCTGCAACAAAATAAAAATTCAATGTACAATAAAAAAAAATTTTCTATAAATAAAAAACAATAATGATGATACCTGGTAAACATAAATTGTTAGAAATACCAACAAATTTATCATTGCATTTACAATGAAAATCAACGCAGGTAGAATTACGAGTAGTGCATTGACTGTTATTCCAGCAATAACCTTTCAAACCCGGTGAACACGTTGATTTATTTATTAAAAAATGATTGTTTTTGCAACGACATTTTTTATCACCATTACAAGTATAATGCCAAGGATCGCCGCAATCTAATACTTGATCACAAGTATAGAAATAATTATCTGAAATAATTATTTTAATCAATTATCTATCATCTATTTTATCTAATTTAAGTATTTAAATTTATCCTTTATCAATTACCTGGTCTGCATTGAGTTTCTGAAATAGGGCTGAAATTATCCTGGCATTTGCACTTGTTGTCTATGCATATAGTGGAATTTAATCGACAGTCATCATTGCTTAAGCAATCTCCATACAAAGAAGGAAGACATTCGAATTCATTTACAGGGTAGTATTGATTTCTGCAAACACATATATTTTCCCTGGTGGAACATTCTGAATTTTTTATCGCTACTAAGCAATCTTGATTATTTTGACACGTTAAACCCAGATGAACTTTATGTAATTATAATTGAAGATAAATAATATTAATCTCAACTTTCTTATTTTTATTATATATTAAAAATAATAGATAATGATATTTACTTGGATCACAATGAGTTTTGTTAGAAGCGTAAAATTTATCAGAACACTGGCATATATTATTGAGACAAACAGTGTTATAAGAATAACATTCAGCGTCGGAATCACAATATTCGCCTAAAGTACCTAGACACTTACCATGGCTGAGAGGAACATAATTCGGCTTACATTCACAATTGTTATCAGAACAAACGGCATATTTTATGATAGAACATTGACTATCTTCACGACATAATATTCGATTGAAATTCGAACGAGCTGATAAAAAAATAATAAAAATTGATAAATTCATACATGCATAATGATTATAAAAATAAGAAGATATTTACAATTCATAAATACACAGTTTCCGTTATTATTTTGATAATAACCTGGTCGACATACACACACATCATCTATACAATGAGAATTCTTTACAGCACATTGTTCATTGGGCTTGCAGTGTTCACCCAACAAGGGTGCGCAAGTTGTCTCATTGAAGAATTTATGGGTACTCTTACAAGAACAAATATTTATGTCAGATCGACACTCAGAATTTGCTATATATTTGCAATCATCATCATCTTCACAGTACATCCTTATGTAGTCTGCATGAATACAGAAAATAAACAAATTAATGAATGTTCATATCAACATAATTTAATCGATTTTTATATTTTTAAAATGGAAGTAAAACCTAAAAATGTTATATCAGCTATTCACACCTAATAAAATTTGATGAAATTAATTTATTTTCTTCCTTTTCATTAAAAGTTTAACTGTGTTACCTGATATTATTGTGTGCACAGAGACGTGGAGTTTAACGTGTCCAACTATTTTTAACATATGTGGATATAATATATACTATAATGACAGTCACATAAATAAAGCTGATGGAGTGGTGATGTATGTAAAAAAATCTTTAGCTGGTCAATCAATGAATATCGAATCGGTAGATGGAATTAAATTTTTATCAGTGGAAATAAAAATAAAAAAGAGTGGTGTCTTGAAAATAACTGGGATCTATCGATCACATGATACTGATAAAGGAACTTTTAAGGAATCTGTGAAGAAATATTTAAATAAAAATGCAAAATTGAAGAACCATATCATTACTGGTGACTTCAACATAAACTTCCTATATTCTGATTTGATTGCAAATGAACTTATGTGTTATTTTTTGGACTTTAATTATATACCATATTTCAATTGTATAACGAGACCTAGTTCAATTGATAATGAGGGTACTTGTATTGATAACATGTTTGTAAAAGCAGACATTAAAAATATTAAGTCATATATTTATACGAATACTTTTGCAGACCATTATACATTATTCTTAAAGTTAAATCTGTGTAAAAAAGAAATTCAATTGAATGAAAAAGCTGTTATAGAGTTCAAAAAGTTAAAAAGAAATAGTGATCTATTTGACTGGTATAAAGTGCTAAGTTATAATTCTCCTGATGAAGCAGTGAAAAATCTAATTGAAAATATACAAACTATTATTAAGAAGTCATACAGGAAACAACAACAGAAGCAAAAGAAGAACAGGCGACCCAGAAAAGACTGGATTACAAGTGGTATAATAAACTCATGTAAGACTAAAGAAACTCTATATCTTAGCTGGACCAAAGATAAAAATAATTTACTTTTAAAAAGTGAATATAATAAGTACTGTAAAATCTTAGATAGGGTAATTAAAAATGCGAAGCAAAACTTTATGAGAAAACAAGTAGTTGAATGTAAAGATAGCAAACGATTATGGCAATATATTAAGAATAAGATAGGTAAAAATGTAAATAAAAATAGTAATATAGAGTCATTGATATGTGAGGATAACGAAATAACTGATAATAAACAAATTGCTGATAATTTAGTTATGTATTTTAGTAGTATCGGTGACACTTTAGCATCTAGAATAGACAAAACTAAATCTCTCAATAAAAAAACATATGCCAGGAATCCATATAGTATTTTTCTCGTACCAACAAACAAAAATGAAATAGAGAAGATAATTAATGAATTAAAAGATAAAGCAGGGGGGGTAGATGGTATCAGCAGTAAGGTTTTAAAAAAAATAGCTAGCAATATTAGTGAGCCTTTAGCTCACATTTTTAATATGTGTATGAACACCGGTATTTGGCCAAATGCTTTAAAAGCAGCTGAAATAATACCAATTTTTAAATCTGGAAACAAGCAATTACCATCGAATTACAGACCAATTTCGTTAATATCAAATATTGCTAAAATAATGGAAAAAATAATATATAAAAGATTTACAGAATTTTTAAACAAACATAAAATAATATCTGAAAAACAATTTGGTTTTGTTAAAAATAGAGGAACAAATGATGCAATAAGTTTTGTTACAGAACACATTTATAAGCATTTAGATAATAATATTCCTACAATAGTAACGTTTCTGGACCTGGCAAAAGCATTTGACACAGTAAACCACAATATTCTGTTAGAAAAATTGGAAGCATATGGAATAAGAGGAGTGGTCCTGGAGTTATTAAAGAATTATCTAAAAAATAGAGCACAGTGTGTCAAAGTTAATAATGAAAAGAGTAAAAATATGAAAGTGACAGTGGGAGTACCACAAGGGACGATTTTGGGTCCTTTACTTTTTATAGTGTACATAAATGATGTCTTTGGTCTACTCCCGGACAACTCTATTGTTTCCTATGCTGATGATACTGCAGTCTTATGTTCTGATAAAAATTGGAATGAGGTTCAAACTAAAACTATAAAGTGGTTGAAAGTACTGAACAAATGGCTATGTGTTAATCAGCTTTCTCTAAATATTGAAAAAACCATATACATAACTTTTGGATGCTACAAAGATAGTGTACCAAAAGAGACAGAAATTTACATAGAAAATAAAAAACTAAAAAGGGTAACAAATTGTAAATACTTAGGAATAATTATAGACAGCTGTATGAAGTGGGATTGTCATATCAAAGATCTGATAAAGAAAACCAAATACTTTATTTTTGTTTTCTATAAGCTTAGTTTAATAATGAATAAAAGAACTCTAAAAATCATTTACCAGGCCTTGATTGAGAGTGTAATTAATTATGGAATTGCTGCTTGGGGTGGAGCGTATAGTAATACGTTAAACTCACTAATTACAATTCAAAATAAACTAATTAAAAAAATAAATTATTATTATTATTATTATTATTATTATTTTTTAAAAATAAAAAAAAAATATTTTTATTCAAATATAACTTTTGACTGGTGAATTGGTGAATTCTGCTAAACCGTAATAATTATTAAAATAGTAAATTCTATTAATGTAAATAATGATTGTCACTATTTCTGTCAATAGTTTGAAACAACTAATGAATTAGTAACCAGTAATGTCACTATTAAATTAGTGAATATTACTTTTACAAATGAATTAGTGACTTTTGTTTTCATTTATAAATTAGTGAAATATAATTTCATTTGTTAATTAGTGAATTGTATTTTCGCTGATCAATTAGTATTTTCTTTTTGCACTGATTCATTTAGTGAATTTTCACTAATTCTAAGTTGAATTCAACTGTAAGAATTAGTGAAGTTTCACTGTGATTTATTGAAATTTCACTAATTTCATTTTAGAGAGATGGATTTAATATTGTCCAGTTTGTGTAAACTTACGAGGTAAGCATTTTTCTTTGGAATATTCTATAAATCCATCGTTACATTTACATTCATCATTTCTACAACTGGAATGAAGTGGGGCGCACAATTGATTTTCAAAACATGATTCTCCAAGAAGCGGCGCACAAGCTGTCTCATTAACCATTTGATGACCATTTTTGCAAGTACAAGTTTTTGTGTCATTCTGACACTTTGCATTCGCTATATACTTGCATTTATCATCATTTTCACAGAACATATTTAAGTAGTCTGCATAAATACAGAAGTAACAAATTAATGAATGTTTGAATATTGAATATCGTTCAGTATCTTATATGACTTACGAGGTATACATTTTTTTTTAGAATAATCTAAAAATCCATCATCACACAGACATATATCATTATTACAATTGGAATGATCTGGGGCGCACAATTGACTTTTAAAACATGATTCTCCAAGAAGTGAGGCGCATGCGGTGCTGTTGTATTCTCCAAAATTCATTTTGCACTCACATATTCCATTGTCGGAGCATATACTGTTTAATATTTTTCTACAATCCTCATTACTCTTACATGGTATCCCTAATTGAGCTGCAAATAAAATAAAAAAAAAAAATTCATTCAAAACGCAAAAAATACGGATCGCTAAAAAGTTCATTAATTTTTTTTACTCACGTGCTAAACACAAATATTCTGAAAAGTTAACCATAAATGGTATGAATCCACACTTAGAGTCAATGCACACTCCATTAATGTTTCTGCAGTCTTTATTTTGTGAACAAATTCCACCATAAATTGGTCTACATGAAGTTTGATTCACAGCTGCATAGTTTTCATCGCATTTACATTTTTTATCCTTCGAACATATTGCATGATCTATTTGTCTGCAGTCATAATTAATCCAACAAAAGTCATTTAAATGAGCAACTGGAATAAAATTAAGAAAATTAAAACTACTTTTATCTGAGTATTGTAAATTTATACTATTAACAATAAAACTTACAAGGTAGACATTGATTGGATCTATACTCAAACTGTGGTTTGCACTGGCAATGATTATCAATGCACTTAGAATTTTCGACTACACATAAGTTATCTGTCTCACATACAATTTTATCTTTTGATGTACACGGATAAGCTTCTTCGAATGGATATTGTTGGAAACATACGCAGTCGTTTACTCCGGTACATATTGCATTTGAAATTTTATTCTCAGCGAGTATCTTACCCTCGTAACACGCATCATTTCCACAAACTATAACATGACAATAAAATAAAAAATGATATTGAAATCAGCTGACACTTGATGACTTTTTAAAATTTTTCTTAAATAATAAATTAGGTCAAGAAAATTATTTTTAAAAAATAGCATTTATAATTTTTTAGTCCCTAGCGGTTTTGTAAATGCCGAAAAAATGTCGCAATTATGCAGTATTTTTTCGGTTTTTTTATCGAAACATTACGGGACATTTACCGTAAAAATGCGAATAATTTACGCTAAAAATTTAGAATATTTACGCTGAAAATGCGACATACTTATGGTAATAAGGTGGTAAAATGACTGTATTAAAACCATATTTAAATAATGGTTTTAAAGTTATATATTGCTCGGACTGGGATTCGAACTCAGAACCTTCGGAAGACATGTCGGCTACTCTACCATTTGAGCTACCCGGTCTAAACCACATTGGCTCTTGCCTTATTCTATATACATTAAGCCACACCGTCCATCTTACGATAAGCATATTTAAAATTAAATAATATAATTATATTTGTGAAACAATATAACTTTTCGATTTTAGAAAATTTGCAATTTTCTAAGTGAGAAATTAAAATTAGAATATATTTACTTAACATATGTATTCCTTTATATTCATTACCGCTAAATACCTAATTAAAAAATAATATTCTACATAGTATTTATTCAAAAACAGTATTTGTTTTTGCAAAGTAGCGATAAAGAATAAAAAGCAAAATTGGAAATTTTTTATTTTATTCATTTCTAACATAGAAGTGAACTAAAAATAAAACCAAATTTTTAATAATTGTCCATTATATCAGAAAATATTCGGCAAAATTATTGTATTATTACGGTAATTATTTAAAATTTTTTGGGTAAAATTTGGGCATTAATGCGGTAATTGTATAGTATATTTTTGGTAACTGTGCAACATAACCCGGGTAAAAAAAAATCGTCTTAAAATTGTCTTGAAATTGTCGTTCGTTTAAGATCTTAAACGTGATACAAACTAAGACTATTTTAAGACGCCAAAAGAAAAATTCCGAGAGCAGATTTTTGAAAATTTTGTTCTTGAATTTGTTGTGAAAATTAATTTTTAGACGATTTTTACGACTTTCTAACCGCAATATTTTTGAGTAAGGTGTTTTTAAATTGAATTTAAAATTGTTAAAAAATTATTATCTGACAATTTTAAGACTTTTTTTAAGACGTTCCGTTTTAATGTTCCGGGGCTCTGTCGCCGTTAGCCCATCTTAAAATAGTCTAAATTTTTTTTTAAGATTTTTTTAAGACTAAAAATTTTTTAATATTTTTTTTTCAGATTTCTTTAAGACTATTTTAAGATTTTTCAAGACAATTTAAAAATTATTTTAAAACTTAATTCTTAAAATAGTTTTAAAAAAATCTTAAAATCGTCTTGAAAAAATCTCAAAATAGTCTTAAAAAAATCAGAATAATTATTAAAAAGTCTCGGAATTTTTTTTTTTTGGTATCTTAAAATAGTCTTAGTTTGTGTCACGTTTAAGATCTTAAACGAACGACAATCTTAAGACAATTTTAAGATGATTTTTTTTTACACGGGAAGTGCAGTATAAATACGGGATAACTACAGTAAAAAACTGGCCAAAACAACTATAATTTATCCGCATTATTACCGAATTATAACGGTATTTTTACGGCATTCTCAAATCCGCGAAGAACGTGCTTCTAAAGATGGAATTTCATAAACAAATTTGTCTTGCTATAATATATCTTTTAAAAACTTTATAAAAGTAATAAAAAAAATTCATCTTACTTGATACACATCCTTTTTCAATAGTATATTGGTTATATTTTCCGTGGCATTGACATTTATTGTTCAAACAAATTGAATTAGGTGTCACGCACTCGTCATTTTCCCAACAAAATCCGCCAAAAATTGGAGCGCAATAAATTGAAGTTATTGCAGTAGTATTGGATGTACAAGTGCATATTTTATATTCAGAACATTTTGCAAACTTTACAAGATTACATGCATCATCGTTTTCACACTGAGTACCCAAAACATCTATTACAAATAATAAACTTATTAAATAGTAAATATTAAATCACTTTTTATAGTAAAAAAATTACTCACTGCGTACGCATTGGTTGTTTGGCCGCTGAAAATAATCTTTCTTGCATTTACATTCGCTGTTAACACAAACAGCATTATCAGCAGCACAAGTTTCATTGTTCCAACAAAATCCTCCCAAAATTGGTGCGCAGGTCCATGGATCAGTTTTTACTGTTTTCATCCGGCAGATACACTTGCCGTCTTTAGAACATTTTGCGTGTATTATTTCATCGCAATCTTCATCCAGCTCACAACGTTTTCCTAGCCCACCTAAGCACACGGAGAAAAAAATATGGAAATCATTCCTATAATTTTAATTAAATGTTTTCCTATACCATTTTAGGAGTGCCCTGGCGGATCCGATTCACCGGAATTTACGGTGAATGCACGGTGATTTCACTGTGCACGTCCACCGTGATTTTCGGTAAAATCACCGCGATTAACGGTAAAATCACGGTGATTCCACTGTATTTCATTTAGAGCTCTGGCGTAAACCGTGATTTTTTTTATCACTAAGTTTTCAGCGCTTGCATTCAAAATTTCTTTTTCTGATGCTTTAGAACTTGTTTTCTTAAAATTCGACAAATTTTTTTGTCATTTTTTCTCGTAACCCGGGAAAAAATGAATTTACCTAATCATATATAGTTATATATAATCACTTATATATAATTAGACCGGAAAATTGGCCAGATCTAATCATATATAATTAGATGTAATTATTTCTAAAAAAATAAAAAAAATTCAGCGTGAGCAGGAATCGAACCGGGGACTCGACGCTTTAAAGACTAACACGCTACCTGTTTCCCTACGAGATTTACTGAAAGAGAAAAACTTAAAATACCTATAAGTAATGCAAATCGAATACATAATCGACTTTTATAAGTTAAATTATGATACAAAATTATACAATTATTTATAAACAATTTTGTATACTTATAAATAACTTCTTTTCCTCGAGCAGTAGCAATGAATTTATCAAATGAAAAATTATTTTCCGAAAGCTATACTGTTCAAACTTGATTTTTATTTTACAAAATTAACAGAAAACATTATCACGCTGCTTGTGTTTTTTTTTTTTTTTTTTTGTAATTTTTTTTTTTTTTTTTTTTTTTTTTTTTTT